TCCCTCTCTCACGGTGGGAGAATTACATCTTCCCCTCGAGAAACATTTCCCTTCCACTTCTCCCCAGAGGGACACCGAGGTGGCAGGTGAGGGCTTCTGACTCCCCTGGATGCTCCTGGGACATGGAATTGGGCACCCTGGAGCCTGGAGGGACTGGGGCTCAGGGTTGGCGGCCAGCACTTGTCTAGTTTCTGTTTCGTTCCAAGAGCTACTCACCCTCAGAGTGATGCGATAGCGTGAGGAGGCTGACACAGGACGCGCCAATGCCCGAGCCAAAGACGGTGATACGGCGGGGATCGCCACCGAAGAAGGCGATATTCTCGCTCACCCAGCGGAGGGCCTGGATTTGGTCAAGGAGCCCATAGTTGCCCTTGGCAGCCTGATCGCCAGTGCTCAGGAAACCTGGATTCAACAAAGGGCAGGAGGACAGTGAAGGTGGAGGGATGGAGGATTTGGATGGCGGTGACAGTTGGGGGCATGAGGACGGAGGATGAGCATGCAGCGCAGCTCTTTCCACCCAGCTAGCATTAACCATTGCTCCTTTCTGCAAGGACCAGCGCCATCACTATAGGAAGGATCGGCTTCCTACCTCCCACCCATTCTCCAGTTTGGAAGGTGAGGTCTCCAAACCGTTCAAAAGGGATGCTTCCAGCTGGGAGACTTAAATTGCAGGAACTGCAAATGACCAGGACCCAGCATCCTCTGCCCTGATGTACCAGCCGGGACATTACCCTAGCACCTGGCAAGATAGAGTGGAAAGAGCAGGGACCCTGGAGTCAGTTTGGTTTGAGTCCTGGCTCTACCACTTACTGGCCATGTAGCTTTAGGCAAGTTATTGAGAATCGCTGGGCTCTAGTTTTCTCTTCTGTAAAATGGGGATAAAATATTTCAAAGGGTTGTAACAAGGATAAAATGAACATAAGCATCTCGAATATGCTCAGCACATTACACATCTATAGTTACTTCTCGTTCCCCATCCTTCTCTCTCTGGAGGAAGTGAAGATCCCAAGAGGCTACAATTCCTAAGCCTTCCTTGCCCCTCCTGTCCAAGTTCGTCCATTTCCACTTCCTTCCAGGGTCTCGGATGCCCCCTTCTCTTCATTCTCACGGCAGGTCCTCACTTCCCCCTCCTCCAAGACCTAATGAATCGGAAACTCTGGGGATGGGGCCCAGCAATCCGTGTGTTTAACAAGCTCTCCAGGTAATTCTGATGCCTGCTAAAGTTGGAAAACCACTGGGTTAGACCATCTTTTTCGTCTAGTGGAGAAATGGGGAAGTCAGTGCAGTGCGGTTACCACAGAAACAGGTCTTCCTGCCCACCCACTGGGATTTGCTGCTGAGGAGACATGTCACCATGGAGACTACCTTCCCACCCACCTGCTGGGATTTGCTGCTGTGGAGACTTGTTGCCATGGCAACTACCTTCCCGCCCACCTGCTGGCTATCCCACAAAGATGTCCTATATTCCCCCCCACCCTGCTTCCATTTTAGTCTGATCTTGCTGCTTCATTTTTTCTCTCTTCCCTGATCCTTAGGCTCCTTGGAAGGCTCTATCTTCTCCTGCCCTAGGCTTTTAGAAAGGTTCTTTCCAGGTGGGTAGCTGTGGTGCTCCTACACGTCGGAAACCTATACCTGGGTGAGTATTTTTTGGCCCCACAGTTAAAAGCTCATTTGTAGCCCCTGGGAATCAACTTTGTGGGAGGCCATGTTTGAGGAGGTTCCCTCAGCTCACAGAGAGTTCTCTGACGGTCCTGGTAGTCCACGGGCAGCAGCTGACCTTAAACAGACTCAAGCAGGCACAAGACCCCATCACTACCTTTCTTGAGTCCTTTTGTTTCTAGTTTCTGTAAAAGAGCTCATTTCACCCTCTTCAAGTGTGTTATTAATTTACCTTTGGTGCAATTAAGTATGTAAAGTACTTAGTTATTCCTCCCAGGACCTAGTCACAAGCCCTCTTTAGCCCCAGGTTCCCAATGAGGAAATGAGAAGGAATTAGAGAAAGCCTGAATGAGGATGAACGGAGGAGCTCTTGTTCCTCTAGACAAGAGAACCAGCTTCTCCTTTGCCTGGCTCGTTCACAAGCTGAAGTTGCTCCTGCAAGTCTTAAAGTATGCTGACCAAGATCCATCCCGGCTGTCCAAGGCTTGCGACCCTCCAGCAAAAATCACTATGTGTTTCTCTTAGCCTGCCTGTCCTCTCTCCCTCCTCTCTCCTTCACCCGTTTTCTCTCTTCCTTTTCTCTTATTTTCGAAATAGCAGACTTGGCTTCAGTCTTTGCCAAGGTATCGTTCGGTGAAATGTGTCAAATACGTCTGTCCTGACCAGCAGGAAGAGCCTGCATTTGGATGCAGTAGATTTCTCCAACATGTACCAATTTCCTGGGTTAGAAACAAAGGTCTGGAAGGGCTGGGTGGAGGATTTGACCATCACTCTCTGCTCCCTCAGATCCCACAAACCTCAGGATAAGAGGCACTGAAGCCTGTGGATGACGTCATGCCAACCATCCTACTACAAGCGTCCTGCTTGAAGTGCTCTATCCAACAGGCTCAGGCAGATGATACAGGAAACGTCGCCGACCACAAGCACACAAAAGCCTGTCAGTCTGGGAGAGCGATCACTCGCTACTAGCTCCCCAGTAACTCAGTCACCCACAGAAACCATGTGAGAATGAGGGCTGAAACACCAAACTCCATAAACTGTTAGAGCAAATCTGAGCCAGTCTCCCTGGGCCCAAGTTTATACTGCAGTGCATGGTAAGCTGTTTGTCAACAGAAGACAGAGGAATCTGACACATTGTATCAAAACCAGGTATCTGTGTCGCGGAAGGCTTGACATTTACCAGGTTTTCAGTTTGCCTGAAGGGTACCTGAGCAAGAATATAGGATTAAATTCTGAAACTCAGAATAAAACTCGGCAAGCCCCTAGTTCCTCAGCCCCAGGGATATCCACGTCCTGTATCCTGCTGGGGTCCCTTTCTTTTGTTGGTCTCAAGCCCAGTGGGGGCTTCTCCGATTATAGCTACCCCTCTGCCTTGGATGGGATCCATGGAATAGGCTGTGACATTCTCCAAATACATGAATCACCAAGATGTCTAAAGAAGCACCTTGGAGGAAACCGTCTGCTTGGGCTCAGGGCTCAGAGAAGCTGATGGGAGGGAGGGTGAATGAATGCATATAATTGAGGTCCAAAACTGGCCACCTGTTCTGGGATGTTTTGGGAAACAAAACAACAAAGCCTTAGCTCTACAGCAAAATCCCCAAGATTCAGAGACAAACCCGTGTTCTAAATCTGGCGCCAAGAGACAAAAACATCTTGAATGTACCCAGAATCCAATCAGCGGCTTATTGATTACATTTGTGTTCCAGAGCAGGCACTAAAGGGTACACAGGAAGTGGTGGGGAACTTCTGGCCAAATCTCAGTTTATGGCTCCTTCTGAGGTTTGGGTAATATTAGTTTGATCATTAACTATTTAAGCCCAAAGAATAAAAATCCTATCCTGAGATGTGCTGTTCTGGTTATCCAAACGAGAGGAGGTTATAAGGTGGTGGTGGTGGGGTCTTTTAACCTTAATTTCGTGGATGAGTTTCAGTGGGATCCATGAAATAATTTCTGTAAGTGTGTGTGTGTGTACGTGCACACACATGCATTTTTTGGGGGGAAGAGCCCATAGCTTTCATCAGAATTTCAAAGGGGTCCAAGACTCCCCAAAAGGTTAAGAACTTCTGATATACAAGCTTAAAGATTAGAGCAATTGAAGGGTTGTGAAGTAATCAGCAAACCAGGATATCACAGGGAGCGCTCGCCAGCGATAATAGCCTTCCGTGCAGCCCACAGCTCCCAACTGACACTTCAAATCTTGAGTCTCTCCTCTGTCTCCTTTCCGCCTCCTTTGTGTGTGTCACTCTTATCCTCTTTTCTCTTTCCCATCCTTTCCTTCTCTTCCTTATTTTCTCCTCTCTTTTCCCCCGATGCTCCACTCTCTCTTTTCTTTCATTCCTACCTGGTCAGATCATTTGGAACTGAAGCATATTCTTAGTATTCTCCGTGCTTTCCATTGATCCTTAGAGACTGGAGCTTTGTGTTGATAATTTTTAAAAGCAACTGAGTTGAATATTTCCTGTCACTCTCATTTAGAAAATAAAGTAACACAGTTACTTCTGGCCTTCAACTACCATGCACTTGTGCCTGTGTATCTGTGTGTGATTACGTTTGTGTATGCATTACTCTTCAGGAACTACGCAGCCCAAGCATGTGGGTTTGCAGCCACCTTCATGGTACCATTTTTACTATCAGAGACTCAGATCCCCTTTCTCAACAGGACAGAACAGCTTACAGAACAGAGCCTTGCCATGATGTCTGTGGCAACTCAGAGAGACAGAGGAGCAGTGGCAGAACCATGAAACCCAGAGCCCACTAGACTGTGGAGAGGCCAGGGAGACGCCCTGCATATGTCACACCCAGCATCCAGATGCCGCTGAAGGGAACGCAGGCTCCACTTTTTTCAGGGAATATCATTTCTCTCATCGGAACCCCCAAAAGGTGTCTTGCTATCCCACATAGTATTAAGGGGAAGTCAAGAGAAGATTGCCTTTCCGTGTACGTAGATGCACCCAGAAGTGAAACGCAGCTCTGGGGCCTCTGGGATGCCAACTGCCAAAGCCACATACTCAAAGGCAAGTTAAAATAGGGTCCTGTCAGCCAACAAGCCCTGGAGTAAGCCGTGCCTAATTGCTCGTTCAGCACCCAGGCCTGCAGACCTGAGAAACAGCCCAGACACCCACTGGGACTCAGGACCCCAGCCTTCTGGGCAGGAAGTTGGCTTCTTTGTGCCACTCCAGGGCTATGGGGCCGCGTGTGCCTTCAGAGGCCTGGGTGAACATCCAAAAGGGAGCAAGGCCGTGTGTGCTTGGTCGCCCTCTCTGAGGCACTTGTTTACCTCAAGACCTTGGCCACAGTTAGGCATTAACAGTTACCAAGGAAGGCACAGGGTAGAGGGGCAGCCTAAATCACCAAAATAAGCGTGTGGGTGACAGAGTATGTGTGGGGAAGGGGATATGGGTGTGCATCAGGAGGTATTTGGGAAGTAAGTGTGTGTGTGTGGGAGGAAGACGGTGTAATGGGTGGAAGTGTATGGGGATGTATGTGTGGAGAGAGTAGAATAAATGTGCAGTGTATGTATGTGGGATATGTAAGTGTGGGGTGTGCATGAGTGTGTATGCGTGTATGGATATGGATGACCAGGTGTGGGGATATGTATGGATGCGTGTATATTTGTGGGGTAGGAATATGTAATATGTATGTATTGGACATATATATGCCAGATGTGTATAGGAAGAGTGTGTGTGTGTATGTGATATGGGTACATGTATCGGGGCCTGTGGGTGTGTGTGTAAGGGGGGATGTGTAAGTGTAGGGCATGGGATGTGTATGTAGATGTGGAAGCAGGGATATGAGGGGTACGTGTGTAGTATCTGTGTACTATGGGCTGGGGAGGTGTGGACGTGCAGGTATGGCTCTCACATGAGTAGGGAGGGGAACGCTGGTTCGTGTTTGTGTAGGGGAGGGGAGGGACATA